CATGAAATGAAAAACCCAAAAAAAACCTATGTATTAGTAGGGTAACCAAAAGAAAACCCTGTATGTTATCCGCGTGTACCCGAATTTCTTAATCCAAAACAACTTGTTACCCTTCTGAACCAAAAAAAAAAAAGAGAAGCAAAAACCTGTCTTTCACTACAGACCTTCTCAAAATACATGATTTTTCCGTAGATTTGAACCAACATGCATAAACCATGGAGAAAGTTTAAACAAGTTTAAGAGTCTTATATTTTAAACCAAGAACAAACCTTTTGACAAAATAACCCAAAAGCTAACAAAAAGGAATACCTCCATACCTTTCCTTTTGCTCAATGGTTTCGAGACCTCACATTTGTAGGTAATGCTCTAGAATCAACTTCAAAAAGCTCTTTCGTATCTCCATTTATCTCCCTGGTTACTAGGGAAGCAAGAATCTGATGTGAGAATCTCAGCATTTTTGACTTTGGGATTGTAGATATCACTTCTGATCCATCCTCATTGTCACAATCACGATGCCTACTCTCAGCTCCTCTAAAGAATGTCTTTTTCTCTTCATCTTCATTGTAAAACAATGCGGGCTCCAACGCTAAAACCTTATATTCCAAGCTGTCATCAAGAACTTCGACAATGTCATAATCGCAGCAACCCACATACTCCTTGTTACTAGTCCAGATTCTGTAAATCGCCCAAACTTGCCCAATCTTAGGCAGAACGGTATATTCATCTCCATCCATGGATCTTTGACGCACTATCTGATGTGAAACATCATCTGCGGTGAGTACTTCAGAACTTTTCCTCACCAAGAAATTTCCACAATCAACATGCATTCTTTTGTCCTCCCATTGGATGCCATTCTCAGGGAAAAACGTAGCCTTTAACCGACCTACATGCAGTTTAATTACTGCTTCCTGCTCAAATGCTTGAATTAGAGTGATCTTTCTGAATCCTACAGTAGTACAGAGGCAAAATATCATTACCACTGTAATATGACCAGATCTGGCCAGTTTGAAAAACCTTTCCCTTATTAGGAAAGGCGAGAGCTTCTGGTTTAGGCTCTGCGTATAGATGAGAAGGGACGACTTTCTCTTCGATTGTTTCAGGTAATGCAGCTTGGTCCAACTCGTAAGCATCTTTTGGCACACCTTTTATGTCAACTCTTTTCATTTTGAAGGAATGGAACCTATGGGAAAACCGATATAAACTTTGAGGCAGAATGTGAAATACGTCTGCATTCCCAGTTCCCATTCGAAAGAACACACTTGCAAAGCCTTTTGCTTTGTACAAGAATGCAACAGATACACCAACTCTATCATCGTAATCTGACAAAATCTCAACAAACTCATACTCAAATTTGCGGTGAGAATCTGGTTCTGAAGACCAGTTGATATCCCATTTCTTGAATAGAGCCCAAGTCTGCCCTTTTTTTGGTGAAACAGTGAAATGGCCTTTCTTGCTTCCTTCATTGCACCAAATAACATGTGAGAACATAGAACGATCTTTCGTGTTCTGATTTTTCCCAAGCCTGAACTTACCAGCAGAAACAGGCGACTCTTCTTTAAACCATTGTATCTCTTTCTCATCATCTGGATCTGGCTCTAGATATGTGATCCTAAGCCCAAAACTAGGAGTTCAAACTTTTCTAATCAGAGCATACTGTCTAGGCATCCCATCTGCTGTATCATAGAGAGCCCAAGCCTGCCAAGGTCCAAATTCTACCTCTTCCCTCCGCTTATCAAAGTTGTTAAACTTCAGACCAGCACATTCAGAAATTTGTGGTTGTACTGCAACTTCTGAACCTGAATCACATAAACCAGAGTTTTTATCCACCTCAAGATTCCCGGAGCTCCCTAGATCATCTTGATTTTCGTTCAACTTTTGATTCGTGTTTATGACATTTGGCAATATTTCATCAGAACGATCAACCTCATGGAGTTGCCTCCCCCATCCCAACTCATCTTGCCTTCCCGCATCTCCATTAATATTGAATCCTCTTCTGTTATTGTCTATATCCCTATCAATAACATCTTCAAAGTTTTTATCCACTTCAAGATTTCCAGAGTTCCCCACAGCAGCTCCCACTTGTGCATCTTGATTCCTATCCATCTTCTGATTCGGGTTTGTAGTAATTGACATAGGGTCTTTAGAACCATCAACCTCATGCGCTTGCTTTCCGCTTTCAGACCCTTCTCTTGCATCTCCATTACCATTTGAACCTCTTATATTGTTATCTACAACACCGCGGTTCTTGCATCAAGTTTGGACGGCAACTCGATGGAACAGTCTGAGGTTGAGATTTTTGCGGCTGAAGCTGGTTTTTAGGCGTCGATACAACCAAAATGCTCCTAACAATGTGGTTTTGACTCGACGCTCTTTTCTCCGTCGTAGACAAAGTTTTCTGACTTGTTTCTTTCCCGGACGTAGCGTCACTGGCAAAGAATTTCATGTAGCAAGATTGACATAGAGTCGGTTTGTTGAGAAGGCTTCTATAAGATTTGTACCTAACAAGACAGAACGTACATATAGTCCAAAACTTGGGACGGTCACTGGAAGGAGCTTGGGATTGAGCAGTAGTCAAAGTCTCTGAAACATCATCTTTCTCTCTGTGAAGCTTGTTGATGGTAGTGATATCCATCAACCTCGAGAAGAAAACGTGCTCTTCTTGGGTGGTTCCTGCAGAATAATATAGTTTATTGCCATCATTCGGATAAGGATATGGTGAATTGGGATGTATTCTTTGAAAGCATTTCAAATCAGGAAAAAAGCAATAAGAACCCTAAATCAAGCGTCTTTCCATTTAGAAACACAAATCTCGCAATCAGGGATTGAAGGTGTAGGATACAGAAATTAACACAAAAAACACAAAACATTTTGATACAAACACTAACCGATTCAGGCGAAACAGTAGTCGTAAGCGGCGGAGATTTTTGCCGGAGAAGGAAAAGACGATTTGTTTTGCCACTCATGCGATGGTAAGGAAAATAAAAATAAATATTCTTCTTTTAGCGGGAAAAAGACCCATCAGTAATGGCGGGAAACAAATCTAAAACGCAAACATCAAAGGATCATAGGAATTTTTCTGGTTACAAAATGGTATCCAACTTAAAGATAAATAGAAAAAG